AAAGAAATAAAATGGGCCAGCAGAAATCCAAAAAAGGTGCAGCTTACATTATTGCACACGATGAAGTATGCTATTTAGGGGTAGCATAATACTCAGGCCAGGCCTGGATGAGGAAGAGACAAACACAGAGGCAAACCTCTAGGCAGTACTCATTCTGGATTCTGAACTGGTCTCAAAATACATAGCACAATGGACACATTCAATAAGTTCTGCACAAAAATGACGGCAGTGTCTTTAACACATTTTAGCAACACTCATACACTCTTTTCCAATCATGTGCAAGTTCAGTGACAGCTATACCTCGCATAACAGGACACCCGTAACACCAAAACCTCCCAGTGCCCATAGTTAGGGATACAGGGGAAGAGAGTAAATTTCTTCTGTACACATATTTTATCCTTTTGAGCACTCTTGATTTTGGTCATTTCCATCTGAACATGAGAAAAAGGTGACAGTATGAATGAGTACCAACGTAATTCCTAGGTGTTTCTAGAAAATAAAGTACAGCTTTTAAAGGCTCCCTGCCACACTCATGAGGGTGGCAATAACTGTATGAATAAGAAAAAGACTGTAAACTTATAGAAAAGATCAACTCTCTCTTCAAAACAAATTACAAAACTGATTTTGTCATTACTCTTGAGTGTTATAAAAAAAAAAAATTGTAAACCTGTGGACCTAGTTACCAAAAACACTTGTTTTCCTAAGCCCAGGTATGGCCTTAAAGTTTGGCCTGGGCTAGTTTTATCTTCAAGTTTTCTCCAAGTTTGTCCATGAACTCGAATGTATTCAAGTAGTCAGAACGTTGCACACTAATTGGGAAGGAAAAAGAAAAGAAGAAAATTAGATTTAAGAAATGTTCCTTAAAGTAGTATTCTACGTATTTCTAGAAGAAAACTGATTAGTGTTAAGATGCTACAAATCTACAGATAATGACTCTGCTCAAGGTTCTTGGGCTGAGCAAACCCTGGATCCAAGCTCTGGGCAGCCTATCATGGAGGGTCATTCATTCACATTTACAGGTTCCTGCCATAGGCCTTGAGCTTCAATTCAGACTAACACTGATACAACCATAATCATCCTATCTTCAGTCTGAGAAACAGCAAAACCTACTCAGGTACAGCCATGTCTTCACCTACATTTCCATATACTGCTACATGTCCTTCAAAAAGGCTGGAATGTTCCTATTTTCATTAGTGTCTTAAGAAAAACAAAAGGCAATTGACTGGCTGACATAATCCTGCTGATAAGTGCCTAACAAACAGGATGCAAAATAACATACTGAATTAGAGCATTGTAAACATTGTATTTTTGCTGGAAATTTAAGTTAAGACATGTAGTGACTGAGCACATCCCCTTTACTGTGGTATACTGACCTTAACTGAGATCTTAAGGGTATGTACACCAGTCAGAACATGGTATTAGTGTTAAATTTTAGTACAGTTTCTAGAAGGGAGACATAGTAACTAACTGACTTTGAGGGAGGAATCTGATTAGCAGCTATTCCAGCTGGAATACTGGCTACCATGGCCTCAGAAAGACTGTGGACAATGCATGGAACCTCAGAGACTGGACCAATGGTCACAATCAGTCTAAGGAAGAGACTGTATCAATGGAACATCTATAATTATGCTGCCTACTTTTCTCATTTGTAAATTAAAGAAAATAAAAGGGTGGAACAATCTCTGTTTCTAATTGTCTATCATTTTCTTTTTAAAATTAAACAGAACCTTTTCATTCAATGATTACCAACTAGATTAGGTCAGAAAATTATAGCCCTGACCATGGACCAAATCTAGTCTGTGGCCTAGTTTTGTACCTAGAACTTTGATTGGCATGCTGTTGTATTCATGCATCTCTGTATTGTCCATGACCACTTTCTGCTACAATGATGGAACAAAGTTGTGTAGTCGGGCAGCTGCAAAAAGACTGCATGTCCTACAAAGCTGACAATCTGACAATATACAGATACTATCTGCTGACCTCCGAAGAGAATGATGAATGAGAATTCATATAATTCAAAAGGCATGGTGTTTAAAGCCCAGTGAAAGTAAGTTGTAATCTGACCACAGAATTCAACATCTTATACTTACTTGGGTAAACCTTTAATGCAAGCAGACAAGTCCTTTGTCATGAAGCCAGCCTCAATGGTCTCAATGCAGACTTCTTCCAAAGCCTTGGCAAAGAAGCCAAGCTCAGTGTTGTTATCAAGCTTTGCTCTGTGGGCTAACCCTCTGGTCCAAGCAAAAATGGAAGCTAAAAGAGAAACAAAAAATCTATACTTCACTTGTCCCAGCTATTGGGATTCCCAAATGTTTAACTTTCTAGAAAGGGCATTTTTTTGTTCATGTGGTGAACTTCATTAGATACTCTCCTCAGGGATTAGAAATTTTAGGAATGCTGGAAATAGTTTATCAAATAGAAATTAAAAAAAAAAACCCTTTTTGTGGTATAGTAGTAGTGCTTGAAGCCTACAGCATTTAGTAATTAAGAAAAAAGTCACTATCTCTTTTATCTTTTGTCTACATTGATCTCGTCTTTCCAGGCGATAATCCTTTTAAAGGTGCTGTCCTCAAAACCTGTTGGAAGGACTTATCCATGTGGCTTTTAAATTTGTAGAATGAAGTGACAGTTCAGTGCACCAGAGGGGAAGGAATATGCTTGTTGATTACCCTAATCTGTGTAATGTACACTCTCCCACAAAACAGAAAATCACACAATGTGTTTTTTAATGATATTAACATAGCTACTGTTATTAGGAGTCAGCTGCTTGGTGATGATTTTGCACATGAAACACTGAGCAGTCAAAGGAATGTGTCTGAGTTCCTCTGGAGATCTCTTTTGTAGAGCACTCTGGCTGCCAATCAGTGAAGAAGTAGATGCCATCTTACCAATGGGATTGGTGGATGTCTCCTGTCCTTTCTGGTACATGCGGTAGTGACGTGTCACGGTCCCGTGGGCAGCCTCTGCTTCTACTGTCTTGCCATCTGGACAAACTAGCACGCTGGTCATCATGCCAAGGGAGCCATAACCTGTAAGTGGCAGAGCATGAGTATTGGGTCCAATTGCGTGAGAAGCACTCATCTCCCAGAGCTGAGAGCAAGTGAGTCAATCTTGAGGTGTCTTGGCAAGCAAAATAAACATGAGCACTACAGTCATCAACAATTATGCCTTTCAGAAGGAGTCCCTGCTTTAGTGGTCTCAGAGTGAAAGGATCTGAAAAGGCAGCACTCTTTCCTCACCTATCTCAGGGATACTTGCTCTGTGATGGGGGGTTCAGGGTCCAACTGTCTGCATTTCACCCCAACTCTGTCACTTCATGGCTACTATTAATCAATTTTCCTACCTGTATAATGGGGATAATAAAAGCACCCTTCAATGATTGTTCTGGGAGTAGGTGAATAAACATATATTCATGAATATATAAAATGACTAATATATATACATTATATACTATACACTGCTTACTATATATATTACATTCATTAGAGTAGACCCTGCTAAAGTAAGAGCTCAATATATTATTGTTATTTTTTGCAGATGTTCTGCTATTCTGAGGAAATAAAGATTAAAGGAGTCATCTCCTATCCTCAACCTGACGATAGACTTGCTTGGACAAGGAAGAAAAGGCAAATAGAAACAGGATGGGCTGGACCCAAGAACATCCCACTTGATTTTCCTTTAATACCCTCAGCAAAATACTTCTCTTTCTGTGGTTTCCTATTCAGAGCACCAAGTCCATGCAATTGTACTTTTTTAAAATGTACTTTTCCACCTGAATTCAAAGAAACCTCTTCTCCATTTTTGCTACCTTCCATGAGCATCTATGGAGTCAATAATGTAAACTTACAAGAAATATAATGCTTTTTTTTTTTAGTCAGAGAACAAATGGACTAACTTTAATTTTTGGTCATCTTTATACAGTTGAGAAATATCTGTGTGGCTCTGGTTTCTGGCCTGCTGAGATGAGCAGGAGGCCAGTCCTTATGCCATGATGTTCTGCCTCATCACAGACCAAAGCAATGGAGCTAGGCTGACCATAGACTGAAACATTTGAAACTAGGGGCCAAAATAAATCTTCTAGGATATGTTATCTCAGGTATGTGGTCACTACAATGAAAAGTCTGACTAATACAGAAAACTGGTGCTGAGAGGTGGGGTGGTTCCTGTGACTACACCTGATAATGTCTAAAGCCTTTGGAACGGGTTTGTGGGAGGAATTTGGAAGGGCTTGGAGATGTGGGCTAGAGAAGTCCTAGAATGCTATAAGCAGAGTTTAATGGGTGATTCTGGTGGGAGCTAAGAAGACCAGAATGCAGAGATACATGCAAACAGCAAAGGCTATGTTCATGAGGTTTCAGATGAGAAGTGAGGACTCTTCATGAGGAATTGGACCAGAGGTCATTCATGTTGCATTGTGCCAAAGAACTTGTCTATATTTTGTCCATGCCCTAAGACCTAATGGGACGCTGAGGTTAAACAGTGATTGACTGTTTAACCTGGTGGGGAAATTTCAAGGCAGCTCAGCATTCAGGCTATAGCACAGGTGTTGCTGGCTGCTATTAGCCAAGTTTACAGTGAGAATCAGGAGCAAAATGCAGAGCAAAAAGATTTGAAAACCTGCATTTTGTGCAGAAAAGCCAATGTACAGGAAGGCATGGTTTCTGAAGAGGGTAGCGCCATTAAAAAGAAGCCAAGTACTTTGTACCAGTACAATAGGAAAGATGCCTTGATGGCATCTCAGGAAACAGCAAGATTCCATCTATCACAGGCTCCAGGGTATTAAAATGTAAACTCATTTAAAAGACTTTCTCTTGAGAAGAGAGCATTGCTGGGGCACCCTGTTTGCACAGGGCCACCTAAGAAATTATTTCCTCAGGATTCACTTTTTACTGTGCTCTGCTGCCCGGGCACTCAGAGGCACTAAAGCCGTGGTTTACAGGGCCTTGGCTGTCACTCCAGCTGGCAGGTCTTGGCATCACCCAAATGATGCTGCTTTTGCAGGTATGCAGAATGCAAGAATTAGGGAGGCTCCCATCAAGACTTCAAAGGAAAACCTGGGAGGCCATTCAATGTGTAGCAGTGTCAGAGATCTGCAGGCAGGCTGAGAAGAGCTATGGAAAGCTGTGAGAGTGAAGCCAAAGATGTAATGAAGGCCCCGGGAAGTTGAAGATGTCAGGAATGTAGAATGTCTGCTGAGGTAAGTCACAAGCCGTACACAGAAGCAGCCCAGGAGAGAGGCCTTGTGGGATGCAGCTAGCAGGGCTATAGTGGTGGGGCTGCCCAAGCCCTGTGGAGCTTCACATCATGCCAACACATATCCCAGATGCCAGACACAGAGCGACAGGATTTAATTTTTGCCTTGCTGGGTTTTGGTTTTGCTTTAGTCTGATCATTCTTTCCATCTCATATTTTTCCCTTTGAATGGAAATGTTCGCTCTACGCCATTTTATCCTGGAAATATGCAACTTGGTTTTGATTTTTATAGGAGTTTACAGCTAAGAGTTTGCGTTAAGTCTCAGAAGAGATTTGGAGTTAAGTTTCAGAGTAATACGGACGCTCTTGAGGCTCTGGGGATTCTTGGAGATGCACTAAGTGCACATTGCATTATGAGATGGCCATGAGTCTTTGGGTGTCAGGGGTGAATGTTATGGTTTGGATACGAAGTATCCCCCAAAAGGTTCATATGCTAAAGGTATGGTTGCCAGCTTATGGGCTTTGGGGAAATGACTGGATCCTGAGGGCTCTCCCTTAATCAATGGATTAATCCCTTGATGGGTTCATAATATGATGGCATTATCTGGAGGTTGGCCTATTGGGAGGAGGTAGGTCACTGGGGTGTCTCCTTCCCCTTCCTCTTTCCCTGCTCTCACTGCCATGAGATGAGCAGCCCCACTCCACTATGTGGCTTGCTGTTCTGCCTCACCACAGCCTCAAAGAAGCTAACGGAAACTCTCAAAACCATGAGCCAAAATTAATTCTTCCTCTTCAAGTTGCTACCTCAGGTATTTGGTGACAGTGATGAAAAGTTGGACTAACACAGATCAACTAGTCATTTTCAAATTTGGTAAATAAAAATAAAGAATTAAAAATAAAAAGAAATATCCGTGTGAGATTAGTAACTTGTTCCATTTCACTATGTTGCTCTGAGGCTTTGCAGATACTCAGAAGCTCAGGACCATATCATGTGTTTATTTACTAATATTAGGGCATTAGCTGGTGCCATTGTCAAAACAGGGCATAAATGAAATCATTTGAGTTTAGAATAGTTCACACCTCTAGAAAAGAAAGAATGACAGGACAGCTCCGATCTTCTGTAATCTGTTCAGTTTCCTGAGATTGCATGATTACAGGCTCTGGACAAAAAGGGTCCTGGGCAGGTCTCTTATCAGGGCTCACTGCACTTCAGAATTCTTATTTCAAAGTGCCTTAAACTTTCATAACTTGACATTTACATATGAAATATTTCTTTAGCTATTCCTTCCTTGTTGCCTTGAGGACATTTTAAAACACTGGAAAACAGCTGGAATAGGGCTAGGGATATAGTTCAATGGTAGAGTGCTTGCCTAGTATGTGCAAAGTCCTAGGTTTGATCCTCAGTACTGCAACAGCAACAACAGACTTTGGGTCCCTTTCCTTATCCACCATACAATCATCACAAAGCAATTGCTCCTTGCTTTGTCCACTCAGTACAAATGATTGTGAGGCTTTAGTGAAAGAAGTAGTGGATATGATATTAAAGCTATCTTTCACTGGGTCTACTGATTTTCAAACTGATTAGAGAGGTTTAACTTTTATAAGAGAAAAAGCAGTACTTCTTGAGGCAAAGTAAACACAATTAAAGCTAGCGCAAACATTGGTCTGGGCAGAATCAAGTTCAAATAGCTGAAACTGAAGAGCAATTTGGTGCTGATGAAGTCAGGGAGAGGAGAATTTCTGTTGATTTGGCCCTTATCCTGGCACACCGTCCCTGGTTCCTGGAATCTCTATGAATAGCCTTGGGTTTTTTTGCTCAATTCTTTTGTGCTGGAAGCTAAGAGATAAGCACTTGTTTTATGTAATACCAGAATGGCCTTAAGGATGGCAGAAAAAACATGATTATGACCTGTCCCCAGACACCGTCCTTGGTTATTAGACAGTCTGGGCCCCTCACTTTACTCCTCCTTAGCCTGAGTACCGAGAGGGGAAATGAGGGCAAGGAAATGGAGGGATTTTCAGATCAGGTAGTAGGCTGCTAGTAAAAGGCTTTCAAACTTCAAGTAGAGAAAGGTTGAGAATTAAGGCTGAAGTCAGGAGTGCCAACCCACTCTGTTACTTCCTGCGTGACCTTAAATAAAGTCATTTCCCCAGTCTGAGCAAAATTATCTTATCTATTGCATGAGATGTTGAGTCTAGATGCCTTGCAGTGCAAACATTTCATAATTTTATGACTAAGAGCTACCAAATCCTCTTTCTCAAACTGGAGAACTACTGTGGAATGACCTCATTGCTACAGGCCTCCCTACCTCCACCTCATCCTCTGGCTACTTACCTTGGGCCACAGAGTCTGACTGCACATCACCATCATAGTTTTTACAGGCCCAGATGAAACCTCCCTCTGATTTCATAGCTTGGGCCACCATGTCGTCAATGAGCCTATGTTCATACCAGATCTTCTGGGCTTCAAACTGGGATTTATACTGCCTAAAAACCAAGAGAAAATGAAAACAGTAAAGAAGAAAATGGGTTTGTTAGGGACATCTCCTTCTCCCAAAGAGATCAGGGGTAGAGGCAGAAAACAGTATTTTTCGTAGAAACAGCACAAACTTAGGGATCTGGCAGGCATGTGCGCAAATCCCTGCCCAATCATTTTCTGGCAGTGAAACCCAATTTGGCCATGTGTAAGAGTGATTTCTCCTACCTTGCAGGGAAGGGGTGAGAATTAAGTGAGACAGGAGAGCATTCCAACTAGTACTGCACTTTCTATAATTTTCAGCACACTACTGATCAGATTCAGCTATTTTAAGAATGTAATAAAGGGGAAGAAAAGACTATTCTACTGCCTGATATCTCACAGGAAGTAGGTGATATTGATAAGCAGTAAGAAGAGGAATTGCAATGCCTCAGCAAAGATTTCCCTTCAAAAACCCATCTAAACCCAGGTCTGAACACTTGCACCTAATGGGGAGTTATGTTATATTAAAAGTTAACAAATGCTTACCTCATATGAACTGAAAGTAGTTATAAACTTACACTTAGGTACAAATGAAAGTGTAAAGCAGACTTTTTAGTCAGAACCATGGTCTTTAGAGAGCAAGGAAATGAGCTTAACTCAGAAAGTCACATACTTGAAAAATTAGAACTTTCTACCACTAACAGGGTACTTTTTTTTTTATGGTGGTACTGGGATTTGAGCTCAGGGCCTGGTGCATGGTAGCAAACACCCAGCCACTTAAGCCGCACCTCAAGCCACTAATAGGGTACCTTTATTCAAACACTAAATAATCCTAGCTCTATAAAAAAATTAGTGTGGGGGCCCTTATTTAAGAACACATTTACAGTTTAAAAGCAACTCAGAGTGGTTTTCTTTCACTCCTGTTAAATCTCAGGATTTGCCCTTATCTAAGTGTTAACGATGATTTTCACTCAATTTGACCCAGAATAGAAGGGACAAGGAGATGAAAATTTTATATCATGAATGCCAGCTTACTTAAAAGAAAAAGGCATAATAGTTACTTGTCATATATCTCCTGAAAGATGTCTTTAAAGCGCCCGTCATATTTCTTCAGAATAGTGTTTTTGGTGCTCAGATACAAAGGCCAACCCTTAGACAGAGCCACTTGGAAGGAACTGTGTGCAAAATCTTCAATTGACTTATCTTGATTGTACATCCCCATGGCAACACCACCACCATCTGCAGAAGGGAAACCAACCAGAGAAAAAAGGAGAAAGGTAAATGTGGCAGTTATAACATTCACCGCAACCAAAAGACCAATTCTCAGCTCTGATGACAGCCTGTACCTCAAAAGTTCCAGGCAAGCTTCCAACCTGAATAGAACTTGAACCCATGCCAACGCCCAAGGTTAATTTGGCTTGGAAAGTGAAAACTTTGAAACCCGCAGAACTAGATTCCATTGAAATGATATTACTTAGAGTAGACGAGGAAAACAAAAGGTAGGTAGGTACTGGGATTTTTGTTTGTTTGAGTGCTTTTACACTTTTGGGTAGGATTTGTCCAAATGTACCTTTGAAGTAGCTGGAGAGGAAAAGGTAAAGAGTCAATGTTTCACTTTCATAGGATTAATTCTCAGAAAGGCAAGAAGAAAATTTTAGCAAATAAATAATGAAACCATTCTAAATATAAACCCTACCCGAGCACAGGGCAAGATTTGGGCAATTTAGAACTATTAATTTAATTTATACAGTTTATACACAACAGATTCCTGCCAAGCTTCCTCCATGTTTTAAGAAATATATATAATTCTCTCTCTCTTTTTTTTACCTGGTAATGGGGTTTGAACTCCGGACCTTGCACTTGGTAGGCAGGCATTCTATGTGAGCCATACCTCTAGCCCTGTTTGCTTTAGTCATTTTTCCAATATGATCTCGTATTTATGCCTGGGCTGTCCTGGACCACAATCTTCCCAATTACTGGTTCCTGAGCAGCTAGGATTATAGATGTATCCGGCTGCCAATTACTTTTTTATGTTAGATTTTGGGTTCTGCAGAAATATGGCAGGCTCAGTTATAGCTTTAGGCAGTCACATAGCTAAGTTTAAAAAGCCAGTAATAATGTTACCTAAGTAATTTTTTTTTTTTAAGTCTTGCTTAAGGTGGACTTATACATACCTTCAAAGTTATGTACCAGATATGTCACCTTTTGACTTCCATCACTTGGCGTGAAGGTTATCTCTACTTTTCCAGGCCCAGGAACAACAAAATCAGTTGCTCTATACTGTGTGAGGAGGAAAAAAATATATCAAGAAAAGAAAAAGATCCTACCAGGAATTATAGGGAAAAAAAAATATAGAACCAGAGACACCTAAATAAACAGGGCGGCATAACTTGATCTTGTTTTAGGAAATGAGGAGGGAAAGGTCTATCTAGAGTTTTTCTAGTTAGTGATAATGTACATTAAAAAATCATTAAATATTTATTAGACGTCCATGTACAGGGCAATTTTATGAGCACTAATTCAGACAGAGGAGAGTGTAACAGAAGGCACTTTTCCTTTAGGAAGCTTATAATGTAATACAGACAAGCAGAAGTGAAGAACTTTTGGGCACAGATTGAAAAAAAAAAAGTCAACAGGAAAATGAAGAGAGATGACCATGCTGTGGTACTGAAGATGAGAGAGCTGATGATGCCTGTCCTTACTACATGTCAGATGCTGTAAGTACCAATCTTACTTGACTCTTGTATCAATCCTGCCAGGAAGGAACTGTGATACAGTGGAAATAACGCATGCAGGGTTGAAAGGTTTGCAATGTGGTCTTTATGTATATTTTTAGGGCTCATTCTCTCTGAGGCTGTCATTGTTACTAACATCAGGACCTTGTCCACATGAAGCAGTCTTTCTTGAAGCAGCTATGATAGGTTGAAGCCCTGAGGAAAGAGCTGTTGAAGGGATGGCCCCCTCCCTTGTAGGTCTGAGTTACTCAAGTTACTCTAGTGGATAAATGTGTCTGGTAACTAGTAGGCATCCACAAGTCACTGCAGCACTGAACCTTCTTCAGTGCCTTGGATTATTCAATGACTTGGAGTCAGGTGCCAGCGGGTGCCAGCGGGTGCCAGCCACCCTGTTGGTCTACAGTAGTACTACCAAGAGTTGGTGAAAGAGCAGTCAGATAACAAAAAAGATTAAGTATTGAGTCTCTGGACGGTATCTGTGAAGGACTGGTCAGGATGAAGGCATCACTTGAGCAATAGGGTGAAACAAAGTTAACCAACCCATCATAATCTGAGCTGGTGACCGTGTTCCCAGGAACAGAGAGACAACTGCTTTAGCCTGATTGTCTTTGAAATGACTACATAGAAGCCTCTGGATTTCAGCATTAGGAATTCCTGTTTTTCAGGTTCTTTTAAGGTATAAACTACTTTCTACAAAAAATCCGAAACTTCAGTTTTACCGAGAGTTTGGTATTTGTTTAGTTGGCAGTTTTTCTGCTTACTTTGGCAATGAGCCTGCTTGTCTTTCAAGCTAATGAAGCGCTTTAACAAGATTTCTTTTAGGTCCTGAGTGAGTTTTTCCTTTTAGTTATGAAGTGATCGGATTTAATATGATCTTTGGTGGTTCTCAACCCATCAGTATATTAGACTCATCTGGGGTGGTTTAAAAAGCCTGAGCCCTACAGAATTCAAATTTCAACTGCTGTAGGTTGGGTCTCAGATATTGGAATTAAAACAAGGAAACAAACAAAAGAAGCAAAGCAACAAGTAAAATCACCAAAAAACTCATGAAGGGATTCTACTGTGCAGCCAGCATTGAAAACCATTGTTTTGGATGGACCATATGAAATTACCAACACAAAAAAAGCAATATCATACAGTATAACTTAAGAAAACGATAAAGGAAAATATGTTTGAAAAAATCATGTGTTAAGATGGGTGCTTATTTTAAAGTTTATCTGTACTTACCTTTTCCTGAAGGTATTCAAATATATATATATAATATATATACGTACACAAATACACACATGCATATACACACACCTGCATTTCTCAATTTTACACCTCGCTTAACAGGTATAGACACCAAAAGATAAGACTAAAACACATACAATTAGAACTGCCGGGCCATGAAAAAAAGAATCAAATTATGCCAAAATGACTTACTTGGTCCCCATAAGCATGACGACCTATGATGATGGGTTTTACCCATCCGCTCACAAGTCGGGGGATATTTTTGCAGATAATAGCTTCCCTGAAGACAGTGCCACCCAGAATGTTTCGGATGGTGCCATTTGGTGATTTCCACATTTGTTTCAGCTTGAACTCCTCAACCCTCTTCTCATCGGGGGTGATAGTAGCACACTTGATGCCAACATTGTACTTCTTTATAGCTTCTGCAGCATCCTTGGTCACCTGGTCGTTGGTAGCGTCACGATTCTCTATGCCTAAATCATAGCTTGGGAGGGGAAAAAGGACACAACTTTATAGACAAATTGAGAGGTGCAGAAAGTGAAGGCCCTGACACTTCTGAATCTGTCAAATCTTGGCATTAATCACCCTATACAGAGAAGATGGCTGCCAACTTGAAAAGGAGCTAAGAAAGGCTGAAAGGCTGAACCATGCCTCACTACACTGTAGTGGGAAGCTGTCCATCAGGAAACAAGGAAAAGCCAATGAACTCTGCCAAATTGCCTCCTGTTTTTCACTATACAGAGGCAATAACAGCAATGAACAACCCTTTGGCCTGCTTTCCCTTCATATAACTAGGTACCATCTTATTTTTTCCCTTAGTAAGTACTATGCTTTAAAAATGAAGAGGTAGAAGGCTTCAAGGCTATTTTTTGTATTTTGGCATTAAGTGGTGGGAAACAGAGATATGACAGTCAATGCTAAAAGAGCTAATAACTCCTTTATTAACACATTAGTCATAGGTGAACCTTTCCCTAATTCTTGGGTGAGTCTCTGTTTTGGAATCAAGCCTGCGGTTTATTGCAGTAATGGAATCCACAATGGTTGTATATACTCTAGAAAGTTTTAGCTGAATACATGCCAACACCCATATTGCAGGACATTCAGAACTGAATGCTGGTTGTCTATAGAGCACAGAAAATGATTGCAAGGCTTTATTTAAAGTATGTAATAGTTTGTAAGTAGTAAAAACAAAATAATGTATTGATTTATTTTATTCTCCAAGATATTAAAGTTTTTTTAGCTCTCAAAAATTTCTAAGCAAGTAAGCCTCTGAGACGTATCTTCCTTTCTCTAATTATCCCAAATGTTGATGCAAACACAGAAACAGTAATCTAGATATAGTTCCAAATAAAATAAATTTCTAACTACTCTGATCTCAGATAATTCACATAAATCTAACAAAGCCATATACTCTCTTATCTTCCTGCCTAGGAAATGCTGAATATCTATAAATGTCTAACCCCAACTCCACAGGAAGTGTGGTCAGCAGTTTTCCTGTTCTTGGAACCATCTCTCATCAGAAGAATCTACCAGCAAATTAGTGGATTTTTTGCTGTTCTCCTTAACATTTCTAAAAGAAAAGAAAGGATAAGTGGCCTAGTCCATCCCTTCCAAAAGAACTGATTGGTTATAGTAGTAGTTTTGGAATAACTTAAAATTTGTTTGAACCTTCAAAAATTCTTTAGTCTGAAGCCACAATTCTTATCTTTCTGAGCATAAGGACTCTCCTTCAAAAAGCCTTCTGCAGCTAGGATAGGGAGGCTCCACACGTTTACAGTCATTAATGCTGGACCCTTCAGAACCATGTAAGTTCACCTATTTTCATGTAATGTTCTAAAATAGGAAAGAGTTCTAAAGTGATTCTTTAACACACTTGGAAGCTGTCCATACTTCCTTTTCTGTATGTTTGGTGGACCTCTGCAAATACAGTATTTATACCTTATTTTGGCCGCAATATAGACATTGTCAGCAGCTTAGGTTTAGAACAAATAAAAGGAGACTCTAACAAGATGTGAACTAAATGCCTACACCCAACCAAGTCACTGGTCCTCAGAACACATTCTGCATAATTCTGGGTCAAGGCAGATACACTTAAAAGTTGTCAATAGTTTTTCTGAAAAATGTTGCTTAACATTATTCCATGCCAGTCTGTGGCCACTTCTGTGTGTACCCAGTTCAGATGTACAAAGAAGAGTAAGCATATGAAAAACAGGGTAGAAATAAGAGAATGACAGACTTTTTACACGTGCCCCAAATACTGTAAACCCAGGACAAAGGGACACATGTGACTGAAGGGGACTGCTGCTGGAAGGTGGCATTCAAGGAAGGAACTGCAAGGGTTCATTCTGTGCTGCAGCTGCATGAAAAGGGTGAAAGGCAAAGGAAAAGAGTCCCCTGATTAATTAAGTAGAATGATAGAAGAGCGAGTCTGAAAGGACACAATTGTGTTCACAACATTTAGTTTACTGTTTCTTACATCCTCTATTTTTTTTCACTTCCACAAATAATACATTGTGGTCTTCTTGGCCATTGATTTATTACAAACAAAACCTTTACAGGAAACAGAGAGTTAGGTCTGAAAATCACTTTGCTTCTAATTCTTGACTTCTAAATAATGACAAATCCATGCTTTCTAGTAGCATGTTAAAATAGAAGATTCATCTGAATATATTTGGGCTTAAAAAAAAAGCTTATTTACAAAACACAGCTACATCTATGTAAAAAAGCTAGCTAGGGCTGGTAGTGACTTAAGCAGTAAAAGAGCGCCCACCTAGCAAATGTGAGGCTGTGAGTTCAAACCCCAGTACCACCAAAAAAAAAAAAAAAAAAAAAGCTAGCTATACATTGAAATAATTTAGATTCTGTTTTCTGAGTTTACTAGTTACATTAACGGGGTATTTCATTTACCTATGCAGATCCAGTTCCACATAGGGAAAAATGAGTTTTTCTTTAATCAGTTCCCAAATGATTCGTGTCATTTCATCTCCTTGCATCTCTACCACAGAACCACCTTGGATTTTTTTGGACATTTTTACTTGAATAAACCTGAAAAAAAAAAAAAAAGATGAGGTATATGCCTTGTCATTTGTTTTGTTATGAAGTAGAAATGAAATAAAAAAATCTATTGACTACTAAAAGAACAATTCATAATAGCAGTTGCATTAAACAGCTAGTAACAATATTACATTAGAAGTGAGTGCCTTCTTTGTATGAGTCACTGTTATGTGGTATCTGAATCAGTTCTACAAGACAACCCTGAATGATAGGAATTGTTTCCCATTTTATTTTAGAAAAAAATAGCTTTGCCAAGACCACCTGGCTAGAATATGAGGGAGTCTGACCCCATAATATGCCCTGAACAATGCAATCATTATTCTCAACTATTGCCTTGTCTTAGAAAATGAGATTATTTCCACAATATTTCTACCTAATTCCTTACTTTACTGGGTTCACAAGATGAGCAGGGTGACTAGGGGTAGCCCTCTCTTTTAAGAAGACTGCTTTGGCTGGATTTGGTGGCACATATTTGTAATCATGGTACTTCAAAGACAGAGGCAGAAGGGTCATGAGTTCAGGACTAGGCTGGGCTAACTTTAAAAAAAGTGAAAGATGAAGAGTTCTGATGGAGCTCTGCTATCCTAGAGACAACACAGACTCAGAGACGTGGAGCTACATACAAAAGTGACTTCCCAATTAGACAACTCTGGATATAGAAGGGCCACACCTAGCACCTAAGCATGTCTGTCATGTACCTTGGTGCCCCAACTCCTGCAGTGTTCCTCTGGCTGTTCACTGGCAAGGGTAAGCTGCTAGTGGGTGGGTTGGAGAAGTGGCATTATAGGGAGACATGTCACTTTAAAAATGGAGTGTGAGGCTAGGGGTATGGCTTGAGTGGTAGAGTGCTTGCCTGACAAGCAAGGTCCTGAGTTCAAATCCCAGTGCTGCCAAAAGAAAAAAAGAGTGAGTGGATAATAAATACTAATCAATCCGATTCTCAGAAAGGGCGAAGGCAGATCCTTTGGAAGAAGTGAAACTATAAGGCTTCAAAGAAGGCCATGTCCTATGCTTATTTCCCAAGAGGCAAAGGAGGCCCTAAGCTGGCTAAAAGTATCTGTTCCTTTTCATGGCACTCTTACTGTATTTTTCTTCCAGTAACACATCTGCAAAATGCTTTTATCCCCTTCAGTTGTAGCTGAGGACTGGAAAGTCGGGAGGACATTAAAAAAAAATTATTAAGTGTGCTCTTTCTATGACTTAATCATTTCCTTTCCTTTATTTGTGTAGCTATTCAGCAACCTTTATTGACTGCTAATCAAGATTATCTCCACCTTCATGGAGCTGGTATTGTGATAGGGAAGGCAACAGGGAAGTTAGAATGAGGTGCAGTACAGTGTTTGATGCCACCCAATATCCATACCCACTTCTCCTTTCAATCAGACTCTAGGCTCTGCTCAGGCATCCAAAAAAAAAAAAAAAAAAAAAAGAAAAAGGTAAGAAGCCTAAAACAGTCTCTCTTGAAAAGTTGACCTAAGGTAATTTGGCCTTTAAATTAACATGTTATTATTAGTAGGCAAAGTCTCAGTTTCTTGTGACAAGCCAGAATATATCCACAACTCTCAGGTCCATTTTTCACTTCCCAAATTTATAATTCTAGAATTCTGCTTAATAGTGTTAAGAATATACCCTAGATCACTGTTGAGGACCTTTCTGGAATTCAAGTAGAATAAGAGAAATGAACAAACTGGTGCAGATGAACTAATTATTTTCTATCAGTAATTTCAAGAATAATTTATGCTACAGCTTAAAGTATATGACTCAGTCATGTTTAATCCCACTGTCATACCTGGCCTTGGTTTACAAGCAAACAAAATAAAACAAGAAGAGAGGTAGCAAACTTATCTGGGTTTCAGTATTCCATTTTCATGGCCATAATATTACACAACAAGTATGACTTGGCTATTTTTCCTTGATGGCAAGTACAATGAACAGAAGATCAGATCTACTTAGTGTCAAAACTGAGTGACAGTGGTTTTTCTTAAGTTCATTATTTCCTTCTCAGTGAAAGCAAACATAGTTTGTGTGACAATCTTTCTACATCTCATATTGTATAACTAAAACATCCCAGCTTTTCCTCCCATTATTTATCCATTAATTTTTAAGCTCTATTGTCACCACAACATAGGGCATGACTGTATTTTCCTGGATTTGACTTCCATGGAATGGGCTTTAGTTCCCACCAAACTCTATGCATCCTTGGGCCTCAATTTTTGTCTTCAACTCGGATTTCTAAAGGAAGGAGTGCTCCAAGCTCAAGAGCCACGTTTATTTATTCAGTCTAAAAGCAGCTGAATTCCAAACTCCTGACATGCTTGTGCAATTCCAGAAAATAAATCTGGAATAACAATACAGAGTAGTTCAAGCAAAAAAAGAGCCCTCTGCCCTATTTAATTTTCACCAATCTCAAGCTTTTAGCCAAATTTTCTTTCAGCTGAGTTCAAGAACTAAAATTTCTGGGTAAAAGTACACTTTTGCAGAGAAGAAACATGACTACAAGAAATAAGGAAGCAGTTACTGTGTACTGTTGGAAACACTCCTGATTTACTCCCTTGATGAGCCTACGCTTGCTCCCAGGACCAACTAACCATAGTGTTGCCACATCAAAGAAAGCACAGAAGAGGAGGAGACTGTAATTCTCACCTTTCTAGTCACCCCAACTCCTCTCAGTCTTGCAGTCTCAACTGAATGCAGTTTATCGCCTAAAAGAAAACAAACAGAAAGTTTTAACATACAAAATAACCCTGTCAGAAGGATTTAGCTATTTTTTTTAAATATCGCCAGCCAGCCCAGTTTATCTGGTTTAAAGTACAGCGTTTAGTGTACCCAGTGGGACAAAGGGCAGTTTGAAGCCCGCAGGCACCTTCCAAATAAAGGTCTATGGCGTGCAAGTATCTCTGTGCACACTTCTCAGGGTGCATCCAAGGGCGTGTTGTTAGCGGGTCTTGGGGTTTGCATGTCCTCTCATGACACGCTAACGTCCTTGTGGCCATTGTGCAGGACTTCTGCAACCCAAGCTATCTGGGTCCCTCCAGCCAGATCTCCGTGCTCCCCCATCTCTGTGCCTGGATTTTTAATCCCGGGCACCAGGGGCAGGTCAGGGGCCGCCCCTCGTAGCCGGGGTGGGGCGGGGGCATCTCTCCCGACCCCCACTGCGCCCCCAGGCGGCTGGCTGGGAGGACGGAGGCCGGAGCTCCGCCTCCTCTGGCCCCTGCAGCCCGGCCAGCCCTCGCCGCCGGAGTTCGCCGTCCACGCCTAAGTCCTAGCTTACTCTATTCTTTGCACACAGCTCCCCGACCTCGGACATTTTCTTCCTCTTACACCCCAAACACAGCGCCTTGCAAACTCCGACCAGCTCGATCTTCCTCCCTGCGTGCAGACCGGGTCTTCTTGTCACTGCCTCCAACTTCCTCGACGCCCAGTTTCCCCTCCCTGCTCCAGAGCCGGCTCGGGTGCATGCACGCGCCAGCACCCCTCCTCATTTCCCTTTCCCACGCTCCGGATCTGGCTCTGTCCCTTCCTCGCACCCAGGCCTGGCAGCTAAGTTCCCTTCCCCGTAGTCAGGACTTGAGCTTTTTTCCTTTCCTCCCCCGCAGCTTTTCCCCAACAGCGGGGGCCCGGGCCGCCCCTCAGATCCTGTAGTTACCTGCAGGGGAACGTTCGCTGTCGAGCAGCCGGGCGCCACAGCTGCTCGTACGCTCAAACTCACGCGCACACACTGGCGGTCCTTAGCTGGGCCGTAGCGGGTGCAGCTCGGATTTGTCCTTCGCACTAAGCCAGAGACCAGAGGGCGGGTCTGGGCTTTTCCTCTTCCCAGCTTTTGTCCCCTCCCAGGCCCCACCTCCTCAGTCCACCTCCTGAAGCTCCGCCCCTTCCTCTCTACCAATCCCCGTGCGCCGCTTTCTCCTGGATGGGCGGAGTCAGGGAACAGGGGCGGGGCCAGGAGCCCATGGTGCGACCTGCACGCAGCTCCAGGTGGGGGAAGGGGCTGCCATGTTGCCGGGATTCCGTGGCTACTCCCTGCAGCGGAGGAACGTCAACGCCACCTGCAGGCCGGGAGCGGGGCACGCTGGGGTTCGGGCATCCCGGGCTTCGTAACAGTCTAGGGCATCCCGGAGTGAGCTTTCAGGTAGGCATTAAAAGCCTATGGGTCCAGAGTGCTCTAAACTGGACCTCGGGCAGGTCTCCCTCCCTGGCGCTCGCGGACGTGCAGTAGACCGGAGTGTGTGTCTTTGGAAGGAGGGTGCTCCCGCCAAACGTGGGGTCGCTTCGGGGGACTCTGGACACTGCTGGAAAATGCAAAGGATGGAACAGATACACAGCGGCCATGCCCCCACCCATGACTAGGTCTTTAGTGCTTCTGTACATTTATTTCCAACCACTGCTACTTTCTATAAATAAACCCCATTCGCCATATGCATTAGAAGATAGTGAAGGAGATTATTATCTGGGTTCCAGTGAAGCTGGGCAAGAGATGTGAAGTCTTGGAAAATTTGAGTTTTTGAAAAATATTCCAATTTCCTCCAGAGATTTATTTTTTGTGCATTCCCGAGTCTCGAAAACATGAAAAAAGAATATTTTACATTGTGATTTGTAGGGCAATGCCGTGCTTGTATGCTGAAGATTCAATGCCCCAAACGTTGTTATAAAAAATTATCTCTTAAAAAAATAATCTCTAGCATGGTATCATAACATTCCTTTTTTAAAGATGAACTGAAATGCACTCTAGGTGCATTTTGGACTCTAGAGGGAACCGGCACTTTTCCCATGTGGAAATGAAGAAGCACAAAGAGGGACAAAGTGTTGGGTTTTCATGTGGATTAACGGATATTAAAGAGGTAGAAATTAGAGAGGTGTATGAGCTTGTATTTTCATATCAAATCTCAGACCTTAAGTCACCTGAGAGTGTAAAATTGACACCATATCATTTCAGGTACACATCATTTATTATCTCTTGTTTAAGAGTTAAAGTAAGTATTCATTCATACCTGTTTCTTGTTGTAGAAAGAATTTAAAGCAACCGTCAAGATACATAGAACATAGCACAATAAGAAGCATTGATTATAGAGGAGGAAAATGAAGCAAAAAGAAAAAATATACAGAACATTATACACAACCAAGGTGAGAGTAATCACAAAACATTTTCTATCAAATTCTAAACATTTGCTAGAGATGGGCCGAGATTTGGACTGGAAGCCAATGTGAAAGGAAAGATGGCATGTATGGGCTTAGCATTTAAAATAGTACATCCAAGCCAGTTCTGAATGAATTAGTTTTTCATTGAGAAAAATTTTGGTTGATAACCAGAATTCATTTATATTAAAATATTATTAAATAAATACATGTGTAAAACTATGTATATGCTCCTTATGCTGTTAGCTTTCATACAACCATAAAATAATAAACTTACAGATCAAATGACTAGAAACAAAATGACTACAAAACAACATATTAAACAATATCAGTTAAGTTTTAAGAACTGATTTTTGGCTGAAATTAAATTACTGTTTGATGTATGAATACGAAGCTCACTGCCTGCATGCAGGCTTTCTTGAATTTAGCTGCCATATTCTACTGGATGCCATGATTAATTCAGCCTGCGATGTTTCCCTATTTGTTAATATTGCATGCTTTTACACCATTTGTCTTTCATTTCCAGTTAAAGAATCTGAATATTTTACTGACATCTGACCCGAATACTGTTGTAAGCACAAATGGGATCTGGGTCATAAAATATCTGTTAGCATTTGGTTATGAAACCCTCATCCAGCTAATGGGATTCTCATAAATATTCTAAAGTTGCTGTTTTTTCATTTTGATAACCTTAAAAAAACACGAGGTAGAATGGACAGAGGTTGATCATGTTTACCCATGAAGATTATGAAAGAGAGAATAGTGAAGGTGATATCTGAATTTGGGATGTATCCCTTTGATGAGGAAGGGTTAGAGTTATATATTTGATGGCCAAGATAATGAGTTAAATTTAAGTTTTGTTGAATTTGAAATGCCTGTGGAACAGCAAAATGGAGATGTCCAGGAGCAGTTAGCCACATGCGACTGGTGCTCAGGAGGGTGGCAGGACTGGAGAAATGGGGGGAGTTCTTTAACCTGTATCCATAGTAGTTGCAGACATAGAATGTATGAGCTCATCTAAGAATACAGAGTCAGAAGAAAATCCTACCTCAGCAAGAACCCAGAGGAATACTTACACCTGTAAGGGCCTGCAGAATAAAAGGAACACCCCCCCACACACACACCGCAAAGAGAATGAGAATGAGAATCTGGGGAGGGGACATTTTAGGAGAATCAGCAGAGCCTGATGTCATGAAAGCCAACAAATGAGGAAGTTTTCAAAAAGGAGGAAGGACTACAGAGAGATAAGAAAAAGACAGAGCCTGAAAATAAAGGTAGGAGGACATGAATACACTTTTAGAAGAATGATTTTAGGAGAGTGATTTTGACAGAAGCTGTTCTATCAGAGACTGAGAAGAGACTGGGAGATATGGTAGGGTAGAAAAGAATACCTTTTCAAGAAAGTTGATTGCAAAGTGAATAAAAATGCTTCATAAAGTCTTAGTAAACATAACTTTTTGCTTGCAAAGTGAAAAAACATTTCATAAAGTCTTAGTAAATATAAAATTACTATGCATTTTTCTATTGTTTGGGGTATTTGTATGCCATTTGTCTTAGCTAGAATGGATTTGATTGTATTACTTTCATGTTGTGTTGGCTTTGTTTCTTTTTTATTTCTCTACTGTTTAAATAAGTGTGAGAAAATCTTTATCTTACCTCTTTTTAAACACTTGGGTCAGTTATGTGGGCTAGATTGCTAGAATTGGATTTATTGGATCAAGGAGTATAAACATTTTTAAGGTACTTGTTAGATCCACCAAATCATTTTGTAGAGAGGACATATCGATTCCTATTTTTACATGCAGTATAAAAGAATAATAATTTCATTGTACCCTAGCCAGAACTGAGCCTCATAATTTTTAAAAATGTTTTTGCTTTATCTCCTGAAGGGAACCAGAGTTTCTCAGAGAACTGACTGACTACAGACATTGGGAAGGGAAAGTTGGCCAGGCGTACCTTGGCTACAACATAAGGAAGTGCTTTTGACAATATGAGTACACAGCAGAAGTAGGGTATCTCAACAACAAAGGCCACATGTAACAAACCAGTAGCTAACATCATACTGAATGGTTAAAGGTCAGAGGCTTTTTCTCTGAGATCAGACAAAGGTGCCTATTCTTGCCACTTCTTGTAAGCATAGTACTGAAAGTGCAATTGGGCAAGAGAAAGGCATCAAAGGCACCCAAATGGGAAAGGAAGAATTAAATTGTCTCTGTTTTCAGATGATATGATTTTATATGGAGAACTGTAAAGAGTTATCAAAAAAACCCGACAGAAGTATTAAACAAATTTAGTAATATTGTAGAGCATAAAATCAACACACAAAAACCAATTTTTTGGGGCTCACTCTATTTGAGACACCCCCCCCCCCGCCCCACACAGGGGCTTTTCTTCTCTTTTCCTTTCCACTTAATAAACCTCTGTTGTTTTGCTCAAAAACAAAACAAAAAAAAAAAACCACAAATCTTTTTTGTGGTACTGGCATTTGAACTCAGGGCTTCACACTTGCTAGGCAGGTGCTCTACTGATTAAGCCATGCCTCCAACAAAAATAATCTTATTTACAACAGCTACAAAACAATTAAAATACTTAGAAGTAAATTCAACTAAAAAAAGGTGACACTGAAAACTATAAAACACTGATGAAAGAAATTGAAGGAGATACAAATAAATGGAAAGACATTGCATTCATGCACTAGAAGAATATTGTAAATATGCATATTTATCAAAGCAACATACACTTTCCATGCAGTCACTAAAAATTTTAGAGCCAGGTATAGTGGTACTCATCTGTAATCACAGCACTCAGGATGTGGAAACAGGAGGATCTTGAATTTGAGGCAGACTGAGTTACATGAGTAAAGTTTTAGGCCAGCCTGGACTACATAGTGAGACCCCGACTCAAATCCTACCCCTCCAAAAAAAATTCTGATGACTTTTTTTTTTTTTACAGAAACAGAAAAAAAGCTGTCTTAAAATTTGTATGGGACCACAAAAAATACTCAATAGTGAAAGTAATCTTGAGATTAAAAAAAGAAAAAGAAAAACCCAAACAAACAAAGCTGGACGCGTCACACTACTTGACTTGAAATTGTAATACAAAGCTACACTAAACAGAGTAGCATGATACTGGCATAAAAACAGACACATAGACCCATGGAACAGAACAGAGGCCAGAAATAAAGCCACGATAAATCCATTCACTTAAAGCAAGTTGATTACTTAGAAAGTTGCCAAGAACTTATAATGAGGAAAGGAAAGTCTCTTCAATAAATAGTATTCAAACTGAGCATTGTGTTTCAGACTTGTAAACCCAGCTACTTGAGAGGCAGAGATAGGAGGATTGTGGTTCAAGGCCAGCCCTGGCAAAAATGTTAGTAAGACCTTATCTCAAAAACCAAGCTGGATGTGATGGTTCATACCTGTAACCCCATTTACTCAGGAGGTGGAGTCAGGAGGATTGTTGTCCATGGACTGCCATGGGCAAAAGTATGAAACCCTATCTTAAAAGAAACTAAAGCAAAAAGGGGGCTGGGGCATAGCTAAAGTGGTAGGGTGCCTGCCTAGCAAGTGCAAAGCTCTGAGTTCAAACCCCAATACTGCCAAAAAACTACGATAAGCACTTTTATAAATGTTAGAACGTACCACCAATGCAACAATAATATGATAATTAAAAAATGGTATTTAGAAAAGTAGATACTCACATGTATACTGTGAAGTTAGACTCTTATCTCACACTATATGTAAACATCAACCCAAACTGAAGTGAATACTTAAAGGTAAGATGTGAAAATGTACAACTACTAGAAGATAACACAGAGGGAAAGCTCCTTGGCATTGGCCTTGGCAAGGGCTTCTTGGGTGTGACCCATAAGCTCAGGTAAAAAAGCAAAATAGACAAGTGAGATTATATCAAAATAAAAAGCTTCTGCAAAGCTAGGCAAACTATCAAAAGAATGAAGAGACAACCTATGGAATAGGAGAAAATATTTTCAAGCCATACATCTGATAAGGTCCTATTATCCAAAATACGTAATAATTCTAACAACTCAATAGTAAGAAAACAAACAATCCAATTGTAAAATGAGCAAAGAGTGTGACTAGACAAATGGCCCACAGGTTTATGAAAAAAATGAACATCACTAGCTATCAGAGAAATGTAAATTAAACCACAGTAGATATCACCTTCCATCCAATTCAATGGCTACTATGAAAAGGACAAAAGACAGTATATGTGTTGGAGAGGATGTGGAGAAAAGGAATTTCCTGCATATCATTGGTAGGAATGTAAATTGGCACAGCCATTATGCAAGATAGTAGGGAGGGTCCTCAAAAACTAACAAATATAACTACCATATGATTCAGCAATTCCACTTTCGGACACATATACAAAAGAAAATAAAATCAGTATGTTCAAGAGACATCTGCACTCCTGTATGTTCATTGCAGCATGATTCACAGTAGCTAAGATATAAAATCAACCCAATGAAGGAATGGATAAAGAAAAAAGAGGTATATATGCACAATGGAATACCATTCAGCCTCAAAAAAGAAGGAACTCTTGGGCTGGGGGCAAAGCTCAAATGGTAGAGCATTTGCCTAGCAAGAATTAGGATATGGGTTCAATCCCCAGTACTGCACAAAGATAAAAAAGAGGAAATCTTGTCACTTGTGATAACATAGTTGAACTTGGACTTGAAGGACATGTTAAGTGAAATAAACCAGGGACAGAAAGACAAATACTGTGTGAGTTCATTTATATGTGGAATCTAAAAATGTTGAACTTATAGGAGTAAAGAGTAGAATGACGGTTATGAGGGGCTTGGGGGTGGGGACTGAGAGAGGGAATAAAAAAGGATATAGTAAAGTGACAAAGAATGTTAAACAGAATCAGAAGGCTGCTCAGAGGGGCTCCCACTAGCTAAACTGGGTATTTCATAAAATGAATAGTGGTAGTATGAATTATAACACACTGAAAGATAAATACGAGTCCATGTTGATACTAACCAACATAAAGAAAGAGAAGGAAAAGCTATTTATTTTCAGTAATAATTTTTCAGCAATTACACATACAGAAGAAGGTAAGTATAGTACCATAGTACTATTTAACTTGGCAAGAATCAGAAATGAATGTCCAGATGAAAGTTGTGGATGACAACGAATCTCTTTAGAGATAAAATTCATCTGGAATTAACTTTGGATGTTTAATATCCGGTGAGAACCTGAATGGATCCTCCATAAGACAGTAGACACCTTTTCCACAGAAATGAAACTGTAAGTTAATATAAATATTGGACTGCAAGTTTCTGCAGGATATGGACTGTGTCATGTTTACAATTGCCTTACGTAGTATGTACCTAACACATCGCTGGTTCAATAAGGAATGGGTATTTCTTTGTACTCTTCTCAGTTGGATTGTCTGTTCTGTTCATATGATTGCTTCGTCTATTTTACACTTGATTAAAGGTTTATGAAATATTAACATGTGGTGGGCTAATTTAAGAAAGGACTTTTTTTTCCTTTAAAAAAATATGATAGAAGCTTGAGCATATTTGTGGGTTGAGGAGGAGACATTGGAAAAGGATTGGTTAAAGACAGTACCAGCTTCCAGGGACAGAGAGGGTGGATCAGGCCAGGCAGATCTAACTGGGAATGAACTTCTCCCACAGACTAGGGAGAGAGGGAAGGAGGCCGACCAGGGCAGGTGTGGATTTAGGTAAATGTTGGAGTGGCCTGGTTAGGTCCTGGGTTGCACCCAGGATAACCTGAGCCTTTTCACTTGGGTAGATGGGAGTTTGCAGAGAATGATAGTAAGGGGTGGCAGGAGGGTTGGGGAGAGTTGGGGTGGTTGGCATAGCATTAATAAAAAGTGAAGAAGGGAAATCCCAGTACTGACACTAGAACAGGCTGAAGGGCCCAGCTGAGGATGGTGGCTGTATTTGCCGTGGTCCCACCTGCAGGCTTTGGTGATACTCTTCTCCAGTGGCTGAAAACACCAACTTAAGTAAAACTGGGTGGGCTTTGCCAAAACTCTTGAGGCAAAGGATCCGCGAGATCGAATTAAAAGAACCATTCCCTTTAGATGTCTTTCCTTTCTGCCCTCCCCTTGCCCAGCCCCATGATTTGAGTGAGCAGGTTTTGGCATGCTTTCTACGGCTAACTACACAGCCCTCTTAGCAGGGCAGAAATAACGGATCCGGATTCGTGCCAGCCAGCTGAGCAAGTTAGGGCTTGGTAACTGTATTTGCATCAGTATTTGCAACACAAAACCTGAACGAAAAGATTATAGAGCCATTTCACTTTGGGTCACGCACTGTATCATGGCTCTTTGCCTGCATAGTTTTACTTAATTTTCCCTCAAAAAAAAGTATGCATGGTTTAAGGTACTGCCGAATAAAGACCACACCACCTGTGCAAAGGAAAGACTTATTAGGAACCAGAGCACAGGGCTGCCTCCCCCCCACCACCCCCAGATCAGGGGGCAGCAGCTTGGCTGAAATGAGTGTGTGCTTTATAGGAGGGTCCAAGCCATGGGGGAGGGAGAGAGAGTCTGGTCTCTGATTATCTGTGACCACCAGATGGAACAGGTCAATATGCCTGGCTAGTTGAGTAACTAGAAGTTCCTGAGTTGTTTTGCAAGCCGAGAAACAATCAAGAGAAACAAGCAGCGGAGTTGGGCAAGCAGTCATAAATCAGGGGGTCTGGTTTCAGTGCTAGCCTCCCGCCCGCCCCAAGAATGCCCTGAACATAACACATGGTACTGCTATTATTATTATTGCGATATGGGTTTGAACTCAGGGCCTCCCAATAGTTAGACAGGTGCTCTGTCATTTGAGTCACATCAAAAGCTCTTTATGTGCTGGTTAATTTTGAGGTAGGGTCTTGCTATAAAGCAAAGCTCAGACGAGTCTGGAGGTGCTTTTCCTTTTTGTGCTTCCCTGAGTACTGTGGACAAGAGTCCAATGCTGCGCCCAACCGTTGGTTGAGTTGGGGGTCTCCTGACCTTTTTCCTGGGCTGGTCTGGGAACGGGGATCCTCCAGATCTTCACTTTCCAAGCAGCTACGATTACAGGCATTGGCTTGCAATACTAGTACTACGAATACTGCTATTATCAACCCTGTTTTACACACCAGAGGCCCGAGACCTAAAGAAATTAGCAATTTACCTAGGGTCCCATGGCTAGTTTTCTTCGGCAGAGTCTAGCAAGGCTGCTGTGAGCCGAGCTGCTTGCTCAAGCACACATGGATGCCGAGCGCGGTAACATATTGTGAGTGCCCACGTAGTCGAACACGTGCGGTAACCGCGGTTCAGCAGGCACGCGTCGGGTGCCCAGGGCACCCAGCACCCATCCGGTGACCCGCACGCGTGATGCTCACGCGCACAGTTGTCCTAGCTTCCTCTAGGAAGGCTGAGGTGGCCAACACTGGGCCAAGCTGTCGAGGACGACACTCTCTGGGCTGGACTCCTTCTGCCTGAGCATCTGATTCCAGCGTCGCGAGGGTGGGGAGCAGAGGGCGGAGCCAGCGCCGGGGAAAGGTTGTGGATTGGCGGGGAGGAGTTACGGTGGGCGTGTCCCAGGGGGCGGGGCCTTGGGGGGAAGCGGCTGTCCGCATCAACATGTAAGCAGCTCCGCTTCCTGGCGCAACCGTCCGCGGCCGGAGTCTCCAGGGCCGCGTTTTGGGAAGGGCTCCTTGCACCTGGGCCCGGCGACGCAGGGGCTGAGGTGAAGGGAGGCTGGCGGGGCAGGGCGGGCAGTGCAGGTACGGAGCAGGCCTGGAGTGCGGGCCGCCGGGCGGTGGGTGAATGGGAGGAAGGCCGGCGTGGGCGGGAGGGGACGCTGAGGTGAGGCGACAGCTGGGGCTCCGCCGCCGGGGTCCGGAGGCCGCTGCGGCCGCGACCGGGCAAGAAGGGCGGAGACCGGGTGTCTAGGTCTAGCTGCTCTCCTTTTTGGAGAGAGGGGACGTTGGGGAGCGGCACTTGGACAGGTTTCCTTGTCAATTTGAAGTTCCCCTGCCCCCGTGGAGTCCCCTGTGCCACTTGGGAGGTGGCTTGTGCCGCGCTTCCCTCCGAGTGCTTTTGAGCTGGGTGTCACAGGCGCATCCGTCCCCAGGCTGGAAAAGAAAGTTCTGAGCTGCAGAAGCCATTCCAACCTTGGGGTCTCAAATACGCATACATCTCCCCAAATGCTGTGCCCTGTCATTTGAGGGTGCGATTCCTTTTCGGTATTTTCAGTCTTTCAAAGAGGAGACTTGATTTCCCTTTTGCTTGCAAGGTGCCCTGCAAAAATGAGAATGGAATGTGGTGCATGCTTTTAGGAATTTGGAGGTTTTTTTTTTTGCCCCATTTATAGGCTATTTATTCAGAAATTCAAGAAATATGAGAAATGCTAAGATGCTGTGTAAAGCAAGTTATTCCTGTGCATCTGATATGTGTAGTATGTTAAATTATCCAAGTATTTTTTTCCCCAGTGCATCCTGTGTTGCAAAATTAGGATATTGACGGTGTCGGCAGTCACCCTATAAATTGCTCTCTTATTTCTGATTTATTTGGATCTCTTTCTGCCGTTTCAAAAGTCTCAGTCTGTCGTTATTCTTACAAAAAAAAAAAAAAACAAAAACCTTTTTTAGTTTCTTTCTCTTGGGATTGGGTTTGTGACAAAGATTGTTCAGGTTTAAGTCCCTTCTGAGAAGCAGAAGTGGCCTCCCCTTTTCTTTCTGGGAAAGGGAATATGGATTATGTTGTGGTTTTTCTTTAGTATTTTCATTGTGCATTGGTCAAAAATATAACAAAAAAAATCAATCTTAATGTAAGCCAATGTTACTAGTATTCAGCTGTCCTGCATTATTTAGGCAATCTTGGAGTATTAAAAAAAAAAAACTGTTCTAGAAATGACTGGGTTGCTACTTAGATGTTCACCTAAAACTTACTTTCTACATTTTTTTTTCCTGCGTGCTATTCCTGCTTACCCTTCTGATTGGTTTTACTAAGATACCCCTCAGCCTTGAAATGGTGATATGCTAGAAGTCTTTGGCTAAGTAGGTTAATACTTCTAATTACTTGTCAGAAAAGAGTCCTGGTTTATATTATAAACAGCTGTTAAGCTGCCAAAAATGTGAATTGTGATGTAGTTTTTTGTTTTTTTGTTTTTTTTAGTGTATTAGTTGCTGTGTTTTCATGATAATTTTTTGGGCAGTACTGGGGATTATTTTCATGGTAATTTTTATCTTTGTATCTTCAAAGCCCAATGAAGTTTTGTGCCTAGATTCCCTTTAGAAGTAATTCTAAGGGCTGAGTGTGTTGCTCAGATGGTAGTGCCTAATAAGTGTGAGGCCCTGAGTTCAAATCCCGGTACTTCCAGGAAAAAAAAAAAGTCATTCTAAGATTCTTTGGGCAGATTTCTAACTCTGCTTCTGATGTTACTTTTGTGGTAGTAGCATATAGGCTGTGTTCCCAGACCTGAGAGTTATTGCTGTGACCTTATCTTTTCTCTCCAGTTCTCCTTCAAAACCAAACCAAACCAAACAAATTTTGAGCTTGATTAGTTCCATCTTACTTCCCAGCCCTTTATGCTGGAATATGAATTGTCACGACCTTTAGAAGATTGTCGAAGATGATATTAGACTTTTCTTCTGTTTCTTTCCTCCTTTCTTTCTTCTCACCCCCTTTCCTTCCTCTTCCTCTTTTTCTCTTTCTCTTCACATCCTTCCAATAAACATTTGTTGCTAAAATCCTAAAATCCTATTCAAGTAATTGTTTTTATTTCTGCTTTAACTTATCAATCAAATTATTAATCTGATCTTGAGTATTGAGAAAATGCAGATAGGCTAGAATTGGAAGTCTGTGAACAGCAACAAAATAATTTTGATCTAAAAAAGAATTTTGTGGAAAGACTTGGGTCTAGTCACAGTTCTGCTACTGTTTCTGTGACCCCTACCCCTTCCCAAGAAAGTTATTTTAGGTTCAATATACCTCAGTTGCTCCAAAAATAAAATCTAGTAAGTTCTAATTTATGCACCTTTCAGGATTATTGGGAAACTAAAATGAGCTGGTAGATATGATTTTGAAGAAAAGCATTTTACAAAAGCGTAATATCCTCTTTGTAACGTATAGATTAGATCAAACAATAGCATCTTAATAGCTAGAGTTGCATATGGTTCTCTTTGAAATATGAATCTAAATGGTAAAAAATAGACATTAGCACTTTTCTATAAGTTCTGTCTGATGATGTGGTTAGATTTACTGCTTTGGCTAAATTATATTTTTGGCTATTTAGGAAAAAACATTTTAAGATCATTATCTTAATGCTTATACAAATTTAAAGGGGGAATAAAAATAGGTTTATTTGTTTAGGAGGAAAGTGGTGGAAGACAATTTGTTGATTGTAATACTTGTCACAGGAGTATCTTGAACTAATTGTCCAGGTTATATAGAATGTCGGTAAAGAGTGACTGTTTCATTTCCTTTCCTTAGATGTATAATATTTATCTTTAATAAGTACTAAAAAATTTATTTTTTAAAATGAAAAAAATTTAAATAAGTAAGATGATTTGGAGGAATTTGTGTGTTTGTATGAGAAAGACCATTTTCCCCCAGAACTTAAAAAAGTTATTGAATATAATTTTTTTCCAAAAAAAATCTTAAACAGATAAATGATATGAACATATTTTTTTCTGCTCACATTTATGCATTACCTGCAAAATTTTAATTCATTTTAACTTTTTAGTAATTTGAATAATGTTTAAAAGTAGGTTGGCTTAGTTTTAGGTGTTGAAACTACCTTTTAACCTAGATAGCAGTGTTTTTAAGCATTAATTTGAACATGGTAAACTTGATTTATTTACTCTGGTTTTCTTAGATAAGAACTGTCACACTGTAGGATTTTCCAGATATTTGCTTGTTCTTTGGCTTCTGAGGAACTTACATTTTTGTTTCTTTTGTTTTTTAGACTCATGAAATGGCCACAGATGATAAGACCTCCCCAACATTGGACTCTGCTAATGATTTGCCTAGATCTCCCACTAGTCCTTCTCATCTCACACACTTCAAACCTCTGACTCCTGATCAGGATGAACCACCTTTTAAATCAGCATATAGTTCTTTCGTAAATCTTTTTCGATTTAACAAAGGTAAGATTTATTCTTAGAGATCAGAAAACTTGCAGTTTAATTTTCTACAGTTCTTTTATTCAGTTTTCATGCTGTGTCTTTGCAAGAAAGTGAAATATTAACAAGGTGATAGCTTTAATTATAGGGCACTAGGTCATTCTGTGGAAGAAGAAAAGCTAGAAATTTTCACTGTAATCCTGTTAATATTTGTCTGAATTGAAAACTAAATGTTAAAAGGAGGTCCTTTTTAAAAAAGAAAGTAGCATTTTTTTTCATTTTTTATTAATGTGCCTCAACTTTCTTAAGTACACAGAATGGACTTTGTTTTTTGGACGGTTGACAGGCAAAAGATTTTACATAAAGCAATGAAACTAAAAGGAACTGTGCCTGGTAGGAAGGGTTTATACTTTTCAAATATTAGAAGCTGTCAGCAAGTCTGTTGTGACTTAAACTCATTAGATTAAGATGTACCTCATACCAAGTGAAAAGATACTATTAAGATAAGCTCTTTTTAAGTAATATGTTTTTTATTTGGAAGAAGCATTAAAACAAATATGGTCATATCTTTTGCCTCTAATGTGTCTTTATTACTTGACACTGGTAGAAAGTTATCTTTGATGTAAGGAACTTAGGGGGTTAATAGTTTAATTAACTCAGTAGAAATTTTAATAGTGCCAACTAAATTTTATTAATGGTCATGCTTAAAGTGCTGTAAAAACTGTTAGTACATTTTCAAGAGGGATTTCTAAAAGCAACTTTTTAGAGTAGTTTTAGATTTTCAGAAAAATTGGGAAGATAATACAGAGAGTTCCCATGTGCTTCTTACATTAGTGCTATACATTTGTTACAATTAATGAACCATTATTGATATATATTTTTTTACCATATGTATTTTACTCAGATTATTTTAGTTTTTACCTTCTGTCCTTTTTCTGCTCCAGGATCCACCCAAGATATCACATTACATATAGCTGTCATAAAATAACCTGTATTAAATTAATGTGTACATGATATCAAATAGTATGCTTTATACTATTAAAATGAGCTCTCCTTAAGTAGAATTGAGGAAATGCTTATTGAGTCCTTACTATGCTGGCCACTATTTTAATAATGCAAGGGATATCTCCCATAAACAGATTTTAAAAAATTCAGGCATTTGTGTGACACTTGTGTTCTATTTCCTTTAATATGTTCAAGAAATTTCAAATGAAAAGTAGCATACACAGATCACACATGTAAAAGGGGTGATTATTGCCATTGGCATGTAATTCTGCCCTATTATTTCAATTTCTTCTTTTTTTTTTAAAACCCCCTTATTTTAATTATGCATGTAACACATACATGCATAATGTATGTGTTACATACATTATACATGTATGTAATACATTATACATTACATAATGTATGTTGTCTGAAAAATTGTATCCATCACCTTGTCTCTTCTGAACTCTTAGTCTGAGTTTTTCAAATAATGCCAAGCTTTCCTTTACGTAGAGAGAGGAGAAGGGGGCCAAGGAGAGCAGCAATCTCCAAGTGGAAGCTGGTCCAGCCCTCAGCTCCCTTCGAGGACACAATCTGTGAGGTCACCTGTACCTTATAAAAAACAGCTTAATGAGGAACTCCAGCGGCGCTCTTCAGTATTAGGTAAACACAGTGTTCTTATTTCCTTTAGATTTTTCCACAGTCATTGTGTTTTCTCAGGTTATTTATTGACTTAATTTTCCTGCCATTTGGAGTTGTTAGGTATACTTCAGAATAAATAAAACCGTTACCTAGGTAGTGAAAGAATTTATTGACACTTAAAAAAAATTCTTAAACAATATCATTAAAATTTGATTTAGACAAGGCACAGATAACCTGATTTTGTTCTGATTAATTACTTGCTTGGGTTTCAGCAGAGAACAGTTTGCAACATCCCCAGGAGAACACAGGTTAGTTTTCAACTTTGTGAATGAATTCTGCATCTGTTCCTGGATGCTAGTGACATGTGATATGCATGCTTCTGGCTGCAGAACTCTGTCAACTCCATTAACAAGCTGCCATTTGCTCTTTGTCTCTGTACTTGTTGGAGTGTAAACTGTCAGTGTGGCTGGATAAGCTGAGCTCCTCTTGCCTGCTTGTTCTCCATCTTGGTTTACTAATAGTCATCTCATCATTTTCATGTTCTGATGCGTGTGGGCTGGGAAGTTGTGTCCAAGTTGAGAGGCTAGAGAAAGTGAAGTGGTTTTTGTTTTATTTCTGTTAAATAGTTAAACTCAGTGATTTTCTCAACTCAAGGTGATAGAAGAATGGCAGTAGAAGTGGCATAATAGGGGAAATGATGTAGATCCTGTCTGGTCTGGCCAATCTTCCTCATGATATCCTTGAGTAAACAATAGATGTAAGTAATGGTGGTTGGCAGAAGGATGCTTTATTGCTTATTGAGACTTGGTCTTTTAGAAGAAGAGGAAAAACCAAGCAGAAGAGGAGTTTCTGCTGAAGGTCTGGGACAGAGCTGGCTCCACTACATCTTTTCTAGGGAAGTGAGCCTCAGCCTGAGTTATATCAGCCATTTGGAAGGAAGAATCAGAAAGTTAGGGGTGGGAGAGCACAGGAAGCGGGAGCTTTGTTTTGTATTTCAAGTCATCTCCACTTAATAAACCTTTAGGTGCAATACACTCTATTTAGCTCTTAAACCTGACCCATGTCAACACTTTATTTTTGTGGAGGGAGTTCTTCTGACTAAATCGTATGCTGAATTAAGACGTTGTTTGAAAAAATTTCTTCTACTACCTTCTTTTTGCTAAACTCTGAATTTAGTTTTTCAAGTAATGTGAAACTTTCCTCTCTCCAGAGAGGAAGGGGGTGGGGGAAGCAAAGAGAGCAGGAGTCTTTGAATTAGCATGGAATTTCTTCACTTCTAAATTGAGGAGTTGGACTAGAATCTAATCTTTCAGGGGTTGCAGAGTGGCAACCTGCCAAACTTTGCCTTTGCTGTTATGATAAACTTGAATTTGAATATTTCGAGGCAGAGCTTGGAATGTCTCCTTTGCTGCAGGTCCCCCTTTTCCTTATTGTCTCTGTCAAGTCCACTTGATTTTTGGATTTTACCGTGGAGGCATTTGAACTTCAGAAGCCTGGAACTGTTTGATCAAACAAGTTCCTCCTCCACCCACCTAAAATGCTGTGATTCTACAATTTACCAGCTCTCTGACTTTAGGAAACTTATTTAATTTTCTAGTCTTCATTTTGAAAGAGAAACAGCTAAGATTATTTGCCTAAGGGCAAGGAGCTAGACCAGATTTTTCTCAGGGTCTCTTCATCTTCGTTCAAGGTCAGCGATTCTCATGGTTCCAGGAAGGATCCCACTCATTCTTTTCCAGTGGATGATGCTTATATTCCTAAATAACTAAATGCAAGGGTTTCATAATTAATTGCTGACTATGCACAGGACTACTGCTATTATCACTCTCATTGTTTTATCTGTCTCCTTTTTCAATTTGTAAATCACAGAGTGTTGCCTTATTATTTGATTATTCTAATATTTGATCAAATTATTCGATCATTCTAATATTTATACATTGTAACAACACATTTGAGGCATACACTGAAATTTAGATGTGACTATAGAAAGAAAAAAGTTTTCAAAGTCTTCTAAAATAGGTATAGTTTACAGGCATAGTTATTTTAAGAATTAAATTGTCTTAGGAAATTTTTGATAAATTTTCATTTAGATACCAACTTCTCATTTCTTTGTGATCCTTTCTTTACCACTGAACTAGAACAAAAAACATCTAACACAAATCTGGGAAACAGTGATTTTGAGGCAGAATCAAAGTGGAATGTTTTCCATTTTACAGTAGTTTCCCTTATCTGCAGGGGATACCTTCTTTTGTTTTTTGGTATTTTCTTTATTGTTGTACTGGGTGAGATTATACTGTGGCATTTACAAAAGTTCTTACAATGTATCAGCTATGTCATACTTGAATTCACCCCCTCCACCGCTCACCTTCAGGGGGATACCTTCTAAGACTGCCCAGTAGATGCCTGAAACCATAGATTGTACCAATCCCTATATACTATTTTTTTTTTTTTTTGCCATATGTACATACCGGGAATAAAGCTGAATTTATAAAGTAGGTACAGTAAGAGATTATCCACAGCTAATGCCAAAATATGATAATTATAACAATATAATATAATAAAAGTTATGTGAACATAATCTCTTTAAGAGTGAAGGCAATATTTTCAGACTGCGGTTAACTTTGGGTACTGAAATCTTGGAAAGTGAAACTGCAGATAAGTGGGAACTACATAGGTTAGGGGGACTGCAAAGGTTATTAGGTTAATGTGTTGAAGCTAGTAGAATGCTTAAAACCCTTAGGTTTTGAAACTGCTAGAGTGAGGAATAGTAGAAATTTGAATTACAATTTTGGTCAAAAATAAGGAAATAATAGGTAGCAACTTTGATATTCTCTGTTCTGGTCACAAAACTGTAATTTGGCTTGTTTTTTCTTTTTTTTTACTGATAGATTTGGTTTCATATCGCTGTTTCAAGTGTAAGTGGTTCCTTTCAGTTTGGAGCTGCAGGGTAGAGGAGGTGACTGGGAAGGGTAGGACTGGCAGTTTTAATCTGTTTGGACACTGGTCATATTTTACCATTGCAAAATTTAGCACCCTGGATGTTCTGAAGTTTACCACAGTCTTTGGGAGCTGGGCTACTACTAAGGTTCTTTCTGATGGTGTGTTCTAGAACTGAACTGTTTGATCCCATGACTTACTTGTTTTCAGTTTTGAGACCAAACTAGGTTAACACTCTGGAATTGGTTTTTCTTCTGCTAAATGTCTGGCAGGTGTATATTATTTATTTGGTTGGGACCAAAGGGTACAAGAAATCATTAATGAATTTTGCCCATGTATATGATGCTCTTATCCTAGGCCTCAAAACCATCACTTATTTCAGAAGGTTCTTGTCTTACATGGCCCTTGCTTGCTTGTGAAATGGTGTTTTACTTGGTAGTAAATGCTTTCAACCACTTCTTACCTTTATAAAGTCCAGTTTTAACCCTCAATCCATATCACTGGCTTAGAGAATGTAAGTATATGCTAACAAAAGGGGACACTACATCGCATATGTGCAATGTTTGTATAGATACTAAGAACTGTTAATGAGATGGCTTTTTAAAAATTTGACTCAGACACAAGAAGGAAAGCAGAACCTACCTTTGGAGGTCATGATCCTCGCACAGCTGTTCAGCTTCGAAGCCTCAGCACAGTATTAAAACGCCTCAAGGAAATCATGGAGGGCAAAAGCCAGGTACTGTCCAGAGCTTTGGGAAATTCCTTATTAAGCCCTTATGGGGATTATGCCATACCCACTGAAAATGCCATAATGCCACTTGAAAGAAAATCTATGCATTACTTCCTCTAATTATGAACACCATACTTTTACAGTTAAGTCCTTAGACACATAAGTGTTCTAATTTACCACTCTTCCCCTTTTATGGTTAGTGCTTTTTTTTTTTTTCCAGTACTGGGGTTTGAACACAGGGCCTTCTATTTGCTAGGCAGTTGCTCTGCCACTTGAGCCACATCCCCAAGTCTTGGTTAGTGCTTTTCATGTTCTGTTTGAGTGTTTATTTTTTAGAGTCAGTAGAAATTCTCCTGTGGTTTCTTCAAGAAGCTTTATTATGTGTGTGAATAAGTAGAGATCAGGTTTCCTTTTATCCTTATGAATGCCCAGTTGGACCAAGTGCCATTGTTTTTGAAAAGATCATCCTCTGCTGATTGCAAAATTAATCTCATCATAAGTCCACATATGTGTGAGCTTTTGTCAGGGTACTCATTTCTGCTCTGTAGCTCCATTTTTTTTTCTATCCTTGCATCTAATACTCTGTCTAAACCTTTTGTAAGTTTAGAATAAGTCTCAATGGCTGCTAAATTTAAGTCCTTCAATTTTTTCTTCTTCCAGATTGTCTTGATCATTTTGACCTTTTGCATATCACCTGAATTTTGGAATTAACTTGTTACTTTCTGCCAAAGAAACCTTTTAAGATTTCATTTGCCATTGTAGCTTAATCACTATTTTGTTTGTTTTTTTTTTTTTTTTTTTTTGGTGGAACTGGGGTTTGAACCTAGGACCTTATGCATGCTAGGCAGGCACAGTGCCACTTGAGCCATTCCACCAGCCCTTAATCACTATTTTGAAAAAGCCTTCACATGTTTTTGTTGTTTTAGGATAGTGACCTGAAGCAGTACTGGATGCCAGACAGCCAATGTAAAGAGTGCTATGATTGTAGTGAAAAATTTACAACCTTTAGGCGTAGACACCATTGCCGGCTATGTGGACAGATTTTCTGCAGTCGTTGCTGTAATCAAGAAATCCCTGGAAAATTTATGGGCTATACAGGTAAATACATTTTCTTGACTTTTGCATAATTTTTAAAGATCTTAACTATATAATTGTTATAATACAGGAACAAAATTATGCCAGTTTTTATTTTGGGTTTTCTGTGTAGAAAATGGGAACACAATAGTGGGAGACACCAGCTTTGTTTTGAAAAACTTCATAGGTGAATACTAAAGTAGATGTGGGTATACATAAGTATCCAGAGTGCAGTGAGAATATCATAGGTACTATCAAAAAGAAGGCTCATTAAAAGCTATTAGATAGATGGTTAGATTTTAAATTATATTGCTATGAGAGTTTCTATCTTACAGAGTAAGAACTTTCTTATTTGACACTGCTTTGGCAAATTGTATTTTGCTCATTTCTTCTATATGAAACATTTTAGTAATACAGAAAACATTTAGTAGTACAGATAATTCAAGTTATTTGTTGAAACAAAAAAAGTAAGTGTTGATGTGTGGATTTGAGAATACTGCTTTTTCTTTTTTGAGGCAGGGTCTTGCTATACAGCCCAGAACGACCTAGAACTCACCATGTAGTTCAGGCTGTCCTCAAACTCATGATCCTCCTGCCTCAGTCTCCAGAGTGCTGGGATTACAGGCATGCATCACCACTCCTGGCAGGTTTTTAATTTTTGTTTATTTTTGCAGTTCCAGAGATCAAATACTAGGCAGGCAATCTACCACTGAGCTATATCCCTAGCCCAAGAGAACACTGTTAACATCTTTCTCATATTACTTTTGTTAATTATGCAGATCTTCCTTTTGTTTCTACTTAGTTTTTTTTTTTGCCTAAACTGCTACAGAATCCCATCATATTTCACGTAGATTATGATTATAATTCTTAAAAGACATTTTACCTTCACTTTTTCTGTATCTTGACTTCATTTTTCATACTTTAGTCAGTAATTCTTTGATTTGTTCATATCAGGGTATTCTTGTGCTTGATATACTTTTAAAACCACTGTCACTCTTAGGATAGAACCTGTCTGGTTAATATGGTAGTATATTAGTTTCGTAGGGCTACCACAATGAAATACAACAAATGAGTGGCTTAAAACAATGAAAATTTATTATCTTATAGTTGTGGACTGCAGAAGTACCATAGGACAGGTTAGGGAACCAATGTTGAGTTTTTGCCTATTGTTAGGTATGTCTATTTCAGTTATATATTCCAAAGTAGTGATAAAACCACAGAATGGGTTTAGGAACCCACTAAACCTACTGCAAGGTACACCTGAGCTAGAACTCCATTGGTTATCTTACTTCAAGTCTCTACTGTGACTGGTGAGTCACATGTTTGGATCTCTTGGAATTAGTGCCAGTTTAGAATTAGAGACTAATCCCAGAGAAGTCTGACTGTTTCCTTTGCCTCAGTATATAGTCACCGTAGTAAAAGATCATAGATCTCTTTGGCAAAGGCTGGTAGATAGATTAAAATAAATTTCTGGGAGCAAAGTGGAATTCTTCCTCAAGAAGACCCAGTCTTCTCTTCATTTAGGAATTCTGAGTCTGTATAAGGCTCAAGTTTGGCAATCAGTTGAGGGGTCATGACTTGTTATGATTCAAGTTTGAGACTCTTTTAGCTTGATCTGGAGTTCTTCATTTTGTACAAATCAAGTAAGAAATTAGTTGGCTGCCCATCTATATCACTTCACTGTGATGAACTAGTTAATGTCAGACGTTTCTTTGAGTTAGACTGTTCTGATTACTGCTTTGACTCTGTTGTCTACAGTAGTCATGCCTGCCTTATCTTTGGGGATTACTATATAATACATTAAAATAAAACAACAAAAGGCAATTTATTGTAGTTGGTAGAAAAACAGTGAAATCTTTTGTTTTATGTCTTGTCAGTTTTTTTTTTTGCTCTAGACAGGCACTCTGTCATTTAAGTCATGTCCTCTCCCCTCACTTCAGATTTGTAATATTAATGATTAAAAAATAATTGAAGTAGAATTGTTAAATAACATGTTATTAGTAAAATTAAATACACCCCCTGCATCTCTTAATGATGGGCTAAGTTCTGATAACTGCACCCTGGATTTTGTCCTTGTGCAAACATGATAGAGTATACTTACATAAACCTAGATGGTATCTGTTAATCATTTAACATGGCTTCTTTTATCTTTATTTTTTTTCCTTTTCTTTTTTGCAGTTCCAGGGTTTGAACTCAGGACTTTGTGATTGTTAGGTAGGCACTTTACTGCTTGAGCCATGCTTTGGTGCCTTCATTCCTTTTTTTTTGAGGTGGAGTCTCATTCTGTTGCCTAGGCTTGTCTTGAACTCATGGGTTCAGGTGCTCTTCCATCTCAGTTTTCCAAATATCAACATGTCCTCTTGATAAATCAAGAGATGCAGTAAAAATAAGATGTATAAGGCTCCTGCCAGCATTACATAACACACTATTTTACAGTAAACTTTTAAAAAAAATTTTTAAAATAGAAGAAGTACACTCTAAAATAATGGCCAAAAAATATAGAATGAGGCTGGGATGTGTAGAGTACCTGCTTAACAAGTGCAAGGTACTGAGTTCAAACCCCTCTACTGCTTTAGCTTGAACGTTTCATTTTTATTCTTATTTTCACTATGAAAATTTCTTGAGTTTTTATTCCTATTTGTCATATTGTGTTTAAGACCATTTTATAGCTGGGAGCTGGTGGCTCATACTTGTAATCCTAGCTACTCAGGAGGCAGAGATCAGAAGGATCGTGGCTCAAAGCCAGCTTAGGCAAATAGTTCACGAGACCCTATGTCAAAGATAACCAACACAAAAAAAGGGTTGGCAGAGTGACTCAAGTTGTAGGGCACTTGCCTAGTGAGTGTGAGGCCCTAAGTTCAAACCCCAGTACCACACACACACGTACACGTACACACAAAACCATTTATATTAGTTTGTTTTAAAAATTGTGCCCTCTTCTAAAGGCCACTTTTAGAAACTTTTTTTCTGGAGGCCATAATGGAGATCTTAATAATATTTTCCTCTTGTTGCTTAGGAAAAATTGTGTTGGTTTATCCACTTTGTTAAAATTTTTTCTCATTGAAATTCTTGTTCCTGATAGGTCCCTTTTTCAAAATTTTACAATTTTGAAAAAAATACATTTATAAGCAGAGTTTTCTCATATTACTAGGTCAGATTTTCTTATCTTGTTACAAACATTTGAGGTAATTTGGAACTTGATGAATTTATCATAATTACAGATCTTAAAATAAATAACAGCCAACCAAAGTATTTTGCTTTTTTTTAGGACTTTTTTGGTAGTCTTTACTTGAAGACATTTTCTCCCAGTCCTACCCAAGGGAAAAAAAAATCGACCTTGAAGACATTTCCCTGTCACTAGATTACCTATTAACTCAAGGATTTAAAATATTTTAGGTAATATATTACTGCTACCTTTTTACTTAATTTATTTTTCCTCCTAGGGGACCTCCGAGCTTGCACGTACTGTAGAAAAATAGCCTTAAGTTATGCTCATTCCACAGACAGTAATTCCATTGGGGAAGACTTGAATGCCCTTTCAGATTCGGCTTGCTCTGTGTCTGTACTTGATCCTAATGAGCCCCGAACACCTGTTGGGAGTAGAAAAGCCAGCCGCAACATATTCTTAGAGGATGATTTAGCTTGGCAAAGGTACTGACACTTCAATATATCTTTATTTAAATTTATTTAAATTTGAGAAACACTTATACTCTAGTATAAACCCGTGGTTTGGTTAACATTTATTTTGTTTGGATTGTTTTCTGCAAATTCACTATTTTCTCCTTTCTTCTCTGCTCACCTCCAGAAGGATAACAAATGATTATGGATAGTGATGATGTTAACTAATTAGAATGTAAGCTCCATGAAAGGAGAAAGTTTATACCTTTCTTGTTTACTGCTCTGTCTTGGGCACCAAGAACAGGTACATGGCATGTGTGTGGTCTTGATAATATTTGTTCAATAGGCAACAGAAGTCAGTGAGATTAATAATTCCTAATGTAGCTTTCATTGAGGAGGAGTGTACTCATAAGAATTGGGTTCATATTTCTAAATGCAATTGGATTTTTTTCTTTCTGAAGGAACATTTTGTCTTTCTTATTATATGTCTAAATATGCTGTACTGGTTGGTAGTGAAGGATGCTGCTAACTCTTTCATGGAAGTTACCTAGAATTGTTTGAATTAGAATCCTAGTTCATTAGATTATGATTGTTTTCCTTAGCTAAATAATTTTCTTAAGCATAATACCAAATCTGGCATGTCAAACAGCTTAGAGTTTTAACATTTTTCTGATGAGTTATTTTCTCAGTTACCTCCTAAAGGAGTGAGGAATTTGTATATTATGTATTTAAACAGGAATAAAAAATGAATTAATTACAAGTACATTCAGCATGTATAAATCTCAGGGACATAATATTGAAGAAAAGAAAGTCACATAAAGCACCTAGCCACTAAGATTCCATTTATGTAGTATACAGAAACAAAAAGTGAATGCAAATGTTCAGGGATATAAATGCTACAAAACTTATGATACAGTAAGATAATGAAAAACATACAATTTACAGTAGTGGTTTCACTAAGAGTAGGGAAAGAATGGGATTGGGTACAGGAACACAGATACTTCAAAATCAGTGCTAGTGTTCTTTTTTCTTTAATTACTTCATTAGTATTAATATTTGTAGCATGATTCTTTATACCTTTATAAATTAAAAAAATTGATCATATGTTTCATAAAACAATGCAACGTATAAATTCTTCAGATTTTGCTTACTTTAGCTAGTTATGCCTTTTACTTTTGTGTAGTCCAGTTGCATGAGCTAAGAATTGGCAAGACATTTAGTAAAACAAGCCAGGTATGAGAGGTGTCATGAGAGAGGCAAGAGAGCTGTTTATTTACTGTTCATTCTCTTTTAGTCCTCATATCTCTTTGGTAGGTACTATTTTCCCCATTTGACAGATGTGGATGCTGGAGTTCAGAAAGATTAAGTAATAATACTGAGGTTACACAGCTAGTAAGGGGTTGAGTCTGTACTTGGACCTAGGTTTGTCTGACTGCATAGTACTATTCCAGTGGGCTGGAATTTCTTCTGCAAATCCCTTCTATCTTGTATGTGTGATATAGGAAGGAATTCTATAAGTTACTTACCATCCAACCAGGTTTATTATTTGGTATTTCATATACTTAAAAGCTTTATCATTTGTTTTGGGAATTTGATATACTTAATATAAAAACCATGTAGTTTCTACCTCAATTAAAGGAAGAACAAAAATGATCCATAATGTCACTTTGCAGGGAAAAGATTTAATTTGCTTTTAAAACACCTCATTGAAATTAGGTTTGTCTTTTGCTGCCTCCAATGATCTCAGTATTTCCCTATTTTCTTTATAGTTTGATTCATCCAGACTCTTCAAATACTGCTCTTTCAACAAGACTTGTATCTGTTCAAGAGGATGCTGGGAAATCTCCTGCTCGAAACAGGTAAACTGCTGTGTCTGGTTTTATTTGTTTTCATGATAATGAAAGCATAAAAAAGGTGAGATTGCTTGTCATATAATTTCTTAGTCCTAAAAGCTAAATTAAGCTATCATTTTCTTTTTGTTAGTCTTCACTTTCATTCTCTGAGTGGCTCTTTCCAATATTCTCTACTGGCTTCAGATATTGGAAACCATACCATCCTGTGTCTACTAGTTTACTAGGAAGACCTGAAGGATGTTAGAGAATGAGTCATGTGGTCGTTTTGTGAAGAGTGCACCAAGAAAACAAGAATGGCAAATTCCTGAGAGGGAACAAACCTAATAAGGAATACCAACAAGTCCTGTGTGTCTGGAGTACAGCAGTCCTACAATTGTCAGGACCTTGTCATTTACTCTGAGTGAGATAGGAAGCTACCAGAGTATTTTTTCTTTAATTTTAATTTTGAAAAAATTTCGAAGTTGTAAACAAGTTATAGGAAAAAAATACATATTTTCATATATTCTTCACTAAGATTTGCATTTTGCTTATTTTGTCACTTTTTATATACTATACATTTTCTAAATCATTTGAGAGTCAGTTGTATACATCATTTAAAAAAATTGATACAATTTATTTCTTATAGCAAAACTGAGCATAATTATCCCTTGTCCTCACACATGTACAACCTTCACTACTGTGAATATCCAGGACCAAATTGGTGCACTCATTGCAGTTGATGAACCTATAGTGGCATGCCATTATTCTAAGTCTGTGGCTTACAATAAGGTCCACTCTTGGTGTTGTACATTGTATGGATTTGGACAAATGCATAATAAATGTATCTCTCATTGTAGTGTCATACAAAATAGCTTCACTCTCCCCCTGGAAAAATGCCATATTTTCCTTTTAGCCCATCCTTACCCTGCCCCTGGAAATCACTGACCTTTTTAGGCACCTTAGTTTTCCCTTTTCGAAAACACCATGTATTTGAAATCATATAGTATGTGCATAGATTAGCTTCTTTAACTTAGTAGTATCCATTTAAGTTTCCTCTATGTCTTTTTATGGCTTGATAACTTATTTATTTTTAGTGCTGAATAATATTCTGTTTTCTAGATGTGCTATATGTTTTCACCTACTGTAGTGTATCTTGGTTACTTCCAAGTACTTTAGCAATTACAAGACTTTTTGTGAACATTTTTCTGTAATTTTCTTTGTGGATATACTTTTCAGTTTTTGGGTAAAATACCAAAAAGCATAGTAGGTGAATCATATGGGAACAGCTTGTTTAATTTTGTATGCATTGCCAAACTGGCTTCCCAAGTAGCTTTGTCAGTTGCATTCCTACCAGCCATGAGTAAGAGTTCCTCTTGCTCCATCCACATCATTGCCAGCATTGACTGGTGTGCCCCTGTTTTGGACTTTGGTCAGTATAATAAGTGTGTAGCAGTATCTCATTGTTGTTTTAATTTGCCCTTTCCTAATGACATGCGAAGTTGAATATCTTTTCATGTGTTTGCTTGCCATGCATACATCTTCTTTAGTGAGCTATCTATGAATGGTTTTTGCCCACTTTGTAATCACATTGTTCATTTTCTTATTGTTGAGTTTCAAGAGTTCTTTGTGTATTTTGAATAACAGTTCATTATCAGAATGTCCTTTGCAAATATTCATTCTCAGTGTGTAGTTTGTCTTTTTTATTCTCTTGCCATTGTCTTTTGCAGTGCAGAAATACTTAATTTTAATTAAGTTCAGATTATCAATTATTTGTTTCATGTACCTTTGGTGTCAGTCTAAATTGTTATACCATATCTAGTGCCATCCAGGTTTTTTCCTACATTATCTTCTAGAAGTTTTACACTTTTGCATTTTATATCTAGGTCTGTGATCCATTTTGAGTTAATTTTTGTGAAGAGTGTGAAGTCTTTGTCTAGGTTTATTTTTTTGTATGTGAGTGTCCAGTTCTTCCAGCATCATTTATTGGTCATTTATGATCTTTGTGTCATTGTATTGCCTTTGCTCCTTTGTCAAAAATCAGTTAGCTATACTTATATGTGTCTTTTCCTAGACTATGTTCTGTTTTATTTACTTGTTTGTTTATTCTTTATCAGTACTATTCTGTCTTGATAACTGTAGCATTATAGTAAGTCTTGAAGTGAGTAGTGTTAGTCCTTCAACATGCTTTCTCCTTTAGTACTGTGATGCTGTACGTTCATTATTTTGGATCCTTGACTCTCCCGAGAATCTTTAGAATCGTTTTTTCAATATCTGCAAAGTAACATGCTAGGATTTTGACTGAGATTGCACTGAATTTGTAGGTCAAGTTTGGAAGAACTAATGTCTTGATAAAGTTGAGTCTCTTATTCATGAATATGGAATATCTCTCCATTAATTCTTATATTTCTTTCATTAGAGTTTTGTAATTTTCCTCATTTAGATCTTGTACAAATTTTGTTAAACATATGCTAAAGTATTTAATTTTGGGTGGTATGAATGTAAATATGATGTTTTTGATTTCACATTCCACTTGTTCATTTCTTCTATATTATAAGGTGATTGACTTTTGTATCTTAATCTTGTATCAGTCAACTTTGTTATAACCACTTATTTCCAGGAGGTATTTTTTTGTTCTTTGAGTTTTATATATAGACAATCATGTCATTAGCAAACAGTTTTATTTCTTCCTTCCTGTCATTAAACTTTTATTTGCTTTTCATGTAGCTAAAACTTTCAATGTAATGTTGAAAAGAAATGGTAAGAGGGGACATCTTTGCTTTTTTTATTTTTAAATCATAATGAGAAAGCTGCAAGTTTCTCACAAGTATGTTAGTATGTATTTTTGTAAATATTCTTAACAAGTTGGGGAAGTCCTCTCTATTCCTCCTTCACTCAGAGTTTTCCATCAAGTGCTTCTGTATCTGTTGAAATGATCATATAATTTTTTTCTTCTTCAACCTGTTGGTGTGATTGATTACATGAATTGATTTGTAAATGTTTAATCATCCTCTCATACTTGAGATTAAACCCCTCTTGGTCATGGTGTAGTAGATGCTTGGTATTTGCCATTGAGGAAAACCCATGAATGCTCAGGATGCATAGAATTCAGTACTGTCCTGAGAGTGCTTGATTTATTTTCCTCCCATTACCACCCAATTTCCACTAGAGACATGCTGCTTTTCAACAAATCTACAATTTTCACTTTATCACTTAAATTAAGCACATTAGCTTTTACTTTGCTTTTTTTTTTTGATACCATTTGCTTTTAGGGAGGCATATCTTAATAAAGATCACACAATGATTTAAACACAATGACAATAATGCCAAACTGACTGAGTGCTTCCAACTGAGCTATGTAATATGTATACAGTAATTAAAAATTTTTGCTTTTTAAATTTCTTAAAAATTTATATTTTTTGACTGTGCTTGGTTAAAACCACATATAACAAATCTATGAATAAGGTGGGCTTACAATAATTCTTTTTATATGTTGTTGGATTGGATTTGCTATTTTGTTAAAGACTTCATGTCTGTGCATATGAGAGATACTAGTTTATAGTTTTATTGATGTATCTTTGTCTCATTTTCATATTAGGGTAATGCTGGTTTCATAAAATGAGTTAGGAAGTATTGATTCCATCTTTGGGAGGACAGTATAAGGAATCGGTATAGCTGGGCATGGTGGTGTATGTCTTTATCCCAGCACTTGGGAGGTAGAGTCAGGAGGATCATGAATTTGAGGCCAGCCTAGGCTACATAGTGAGTTCCAAATCAGATTGGGCTACATGTGACCCTCTCTCAAAAAACCAAGGGTTGGGGATATAGCTCATGGTAAACTGCTTGCCTTGCATGTGCCAAGCCCTGGGTTCAATCGTTAGAACTGCAAAAAAATTTTGAAATTTCTTCCTTAAATATTTGTTAGTATTTACTAATGAACCTGTCTGGACCTAGTGCTTTCTGTTTGGGAATATTATTAATTATTGACTGAATTTCTTTTATAGATATAGGCCTATTTGTAAATTTTTGTTTTTTGTTCTGTTAGTTTTCACAGATTGTGATTTTGATTTGTGATAATAGTACTTTGTGTTTTCTGTCTCTCTTTTTTTCCTGTCCTAGCTAGAAGCTTATGGACTTTGTTGATCTTTTCAAAGAACTAGTTTTGGTTTTCTGATTTTATGTATTCATTTCTTGTTCTCAATATCATTGACTTGAATTTAACATGTTTTTTTTATTTTCTGATTCCTTAAAGTAGAAGCTTAGATGATTTTTTTTCTTTTTCTTTTCTTTGTTTATTTTTTGGCAGTATAGGAGTTTGTGCTCAGGGCATTCTACACTTGAGCCATGCTCCAGTCCTTTTTTGCTTTAGTTCATTTTTAGATAGGGTCTTGTACGTTTTGCTTATGCTGGCCTTGGACCATGATCCTCCTACCTATGTTTCCTGCCTAATTGGGATTGCAAGGTATGAATCACCATGGCTGGCTTGTTTGTTGAGATGGGGGTCTCACTAACTTTTTACCTGGGTTGGTCTCAAACTGCGATCCTCCCTATTTCTGTCTCCCAGGGCACCTGGGATTACAGGCGTGAACTACCATGTCTGGCTATGTTTTATGATGTGTATATTCAGTGCTATAAATTTCTCTCTAAGCATTATTTTGGTTGTGTCCTACCACTTTTCATTTACTTCAAAAGATATTTTAATTCTTCTTGAGCTTTCTTCTTTGTATGTGTTTTTTAGAAATGTATCTTTTTTTCTCTTGTTTTGGGTTTTTCTAGCTGTTTTTCTGTTATTGATTTGCAGTTCAGTCCATTGTGGTCTGAGAGTAGGTATATGATTTCTATTCTCTTAAATTTGCTAAGGCATGTTTTATGGTTCATGCTGTGGTTTGGATATGATTCGAGTGTGTTCTTTAAATGTTCATGTACTAGAAACTTGGTTTCCAGTATGTGGTATTGGGAGATGGTGGATCCTTTAAGAAATGGGGTCTTATAGAAGATGGGTAGGTCATTGGCAGTGCTTTAAAGGAATT